CAGTCAGTGGGGTGGCATATAAATCAAATAAAAAGGAAACCTCTTCTACCTGCCATGTTGTATGATCCTGTGTCAGAAGGACTCTACAAAGAGGTTCTTACCCAGGGGAGGAGGACTACCTTTGGTCATGAGAGAGTTTCCTGAATTCACTCAGAGAGCCTAGAAACTTATTTTGCATGACAGAAGTGTCTCCAGATAACGAAACCCATTTTTCTCTTAATTTAGGCAGCACTGGTGGTATACAGATTGTTGATTGAGCAACACAATAATGTCCGTCAGAAAAGCAATGTTGAATGCTTGAATGGTAACTTTTCCAGGAAGCAACATTTTTCAATTAAAAAAAGTTTAAAACTTTTTTTAAAGTATACCGCAACATTCTAAAAAATGTTGCAAAACCAGCATTTATTTCAGGATCAATAGCCTCGCCACTCTGCCCTCACACTCTGACTACATCCTAAGAATTGTGGGACGAAAGTAAGATGCAGAAAATTCTGAATGGCTGACGTGGCATTTCTCACATGCATGCAATTTTTATACGATCTGTGAAGCTCCGACTTCTTTTGCTCTCCGAGTCAGAAGCCCACTTGGCTGCTGTGTCACGAAATCACAGCAACCTATTCCCCAAACAGCAAAGAAATTCTGTTCATGCAGATGGTGGGAAGCGTGCAAAATTGCGACTGCACCAGTCCAGATGTTGAACAATCCGGCCATATGGTGACACGACGGATAGCGTTTTCCCTTGGGATTTTGGGCCCTAATAAATCACTACTTGTGCTGCCTTCCGCCACTTCAGGTGGAGAGGCAAGGGCTCTAAACAGACCACAGCGACACTGGCGATCAGTGCAGGTGGCCGAAGTAGCTACTCGAGGGTTTGGACGAGCAGCTGCGAAGTGGCACAACACAGAGCAGTGGAGTTAGGAAATTCAGTCGCATCACTGGCGTTTCCTGCTCCCAGCCACCTCCCAGGACAGCCCGTCTCATCCTCCGCACCACACCCCACAATGGATCATGCTCAGTATCTATGGGGCTGTTTTGGCTGGTTCCCCCACCCCACAGATTCTTGGTAGCATTCCTGCAATTAGAGTGCCCCCAAGCCTGTTGATGCCTCTCTCCAGGGAATGGACGCCCTTTCCCAGCGCCTCCGAGTCAAGGCAGACCTGCCCTTCTTTACCCGTGCCGCCCTTTCTGGTGAGCCAGCAGGAAAGGAGCTTCAGAAGCTGCGAGGGGGGGGGGGGGCAGTTTTTACTGCACTGCTGCCATCTTGCCTCATTCCTGGAATTTTTTTTGGTGGGGGGGCGGCGTTTTGAGAATTATTATTTTCCACTTGTAATGCTTCTGTGCAGTCCAGGTGCTTCCTCCAGTTTTTTCCTTACTGCAGAAAATGCGCTGAGGAACACAAAGATGGGGCCACTGCACACCTCCCCCCCCCCCCCCCCCCCGGCATGGCTCCAGCCCCTCAAAGCAGAGTTCTCTGATGTGGATCCTTCCAGTTGCTCAGAATGACAATTCCCAGGAGGCCCAGTTGGTACAGCCAATGATCCAGAATGATGGAAGCTGTAGTCAAAGGCATCTAGCAGAAGACACGCCGGGAGGGCTTAGCTTGAGAGAAGATGAGCATTTGAGAAGCTGGCAGCCTATGGCTCAAACTGAGGAAGGGGGCAGGCATCCACCTGGTAGCAGTAGGAAAGGCCATGGAGAAGGAAAGCGGGGGCCAAGAGGAGGGAAATACAGAATTTCTCTGATTTTCCTTGCCACACACAGAACTGAAGAGTTGCCGGTGGGGCTGCTCAGCCCACAGCAAACGGCAGTGAGGACACCCCGCCCGCAGCCGACACAGCCAGGTGCTGCACCCGCATTTTCAACAGCCCTTCTCTTCCTGGAGAAATCACCCAGGCTTTGTAGCTGTTTGCACTGTTCTGTTTCTTTCTTCCAAGAACAGATTGTCCTACCAAAGAAGTCTGCTCGGTATCCATCGCGTAGCACCCAAGCACAGTGCACAGTCATTAATGCGCAGAGAAGAGATAAGATCAAGCGTTAGCCTAAAACATCAGTCCCTGAATATTGGATACGCAGTGACATGCATGCTGGAAATGTTAACGGATTTGGTGAGTAGCCAAAATAATGCATTCTTCCAGCTCTGTGGCTGCTCACGTAAGTGACAGTGAGCACCTGCGAACTCTCATTTAGGAGACACGAAGGAGATCTCCTTTCTCCGAGTTTCTTCAAGTCCCCAGCTTCAATTTGTGGCTGAGCTACCAAGAAGTTTCATGCTCTGATCCCTTCTCACCTCTGGCCACCCATTCACATCCATCATGTCCTAGGAAAATGAGATTGATGGTCTCCCTGTAATGGTGGGGGGAACCTTCATCCATAATGCAAGACCACCACCCCAGGAGGGACCGGTCCACCTCAGCCACGGGCACCGTTGAAAAATGACTGGGCCCAGAAAGGAGTTACAGCCTCTTTGCAACCATGATATGGAGCTTTTGATAATGAAAGTTAAACATTTCACACCAGAGAGACTCCTCTGGTTGGGCCAGCCATCTCCCTCCCCCCTCCCCCTCTGTGTGTGTGTCTCTGTGTGTGTGTGTGTGTGTGTGTGAGAGAGAGAGAGAGAGAGAGAGAGAGAGAGAGAGATGGTAAGACCCTAATTCATAAGAACAAAGACAACAAGTATGATTTATTGTGAGTGCTCTCAATACAGCCTGGCCTTCCCCAAAGTCCACGTTCTCCACCCATTTTTTCTCCCCAGTCCATGACACCGCTACAAACTTTTCAACGTGTAATCGCACCACCTTGTTACGGAACTTTATGGAAGTGGGGGAAACAAAGTCAGAAAACGACAGCAAGAAGCCCGTTAAGCCCCCAAAGAGTGCTGTTCACCGAGATTTAAACTCAGTCCCTGCGAGTCCAAGTTGTGTTGCACTTAATTAGAAAGTCGTTTTTAAAACTTTCACAAGAAATCAAGGCTACTATTAATGAAAGAAGAACCAATTAGCCTTTAATCACAACTCAAAAGTAAAACTTTTTAGAAGGTGCGCTTTTGATCATCACACAGAGAAATGAGGGCTTCTCTCGCCACATGCCATTAACTCCAGGTAGTGCCAACGAACGTGCCTTTACAAGGTGGAGTGAAGAGACAAGGCCTTTTCCAGCTAGCCGTCCTCCTGTTAATGGGACGTGTGCTCTGCTCATCGGCACCCTCCTGCAGGAGGAAGAGGGGGCCGCAGCCGGTGGGATGCGAGCTGCGTTGATGAAAGGAATATGCCAATAAATGGCAGCCCTGGGGAAGTTTGAGAGGCACCAGGAAGCGCGGAGAAAAGCTGAACTCCCTTCTTTCCACATTACCTACAAAAATTGCTTCTTGAAAAGGACTTGCATTTCAGGGGAAGCCTTGGAGAGGCGTTTTCGCTAAGACAGAGGGAGAGGACAACTGCCCTTGGCAGCTCCACGATCCAAATGCAGCCTCGTCTACTTCAGCCCGAATGGCAAAGCCTGGCAACCCTTGGAAAGAAGCCCAGGAGGAAGCAGAGCACGATGTGGGTCCTGGATTTTGCTCCCCGGAGGCATGGAGCAATGGCAGCTTCTGCTTTCTGAGATACAGAAATTAACTGCCCAGAGCTGGGGAGAGGCCAGAGATAAACAAGACTTTTTGGGCTGCAAGTTAAGCAACGGACTATTATGCTGACAAGTCAGGCATGAGAGGGAAGGAGCTTTTAATATCAGAAACTCCAAAGGGGTTTTTAGCAACTTTGTTTCCACAACCATGAGGACTAGAACCTTTTGTTAAAACAAAAACAAAAACAGACTGAGCCCTACAAGCATGCCTTTACAAGAAACAAGACTAAGTCACAGGAGTTAGCAATCCTGACAATTTAAAATGGCTGTATGTGTATACTTAGCTACATAATTAGCCACATAACTCAACTGTGCAGCCGCTGTCCAACTGACTTTGCTACATTTAAGTGAACCGTTTCCAGCAAGCGGCATCCATCATTCCTTATCAGAAAAACAGGCCTGGGAATTGTGGCGGCATAACCAACTATTAATTCTATGAAAAGCAATTTTCAAACTACATTTTAATGTGCTATTTACAGGAGGGTCTCTCTGCAAGGCTCGCCATTCCCTGGGATGCAAATCTCGTGCCTGCTGTTTCCAGCAGAGCCCAACAATGCTAAAATAACTATCTTCTCAGGCAGCACTGAAACAAGGGCAAGGGGAGTTGAGGAGATGTTAGCACTAACATATCAGCCCAGAAGACACCTTAAAAGAGAGCCAGTGTGGTGCAGTGGTTAGAGCACGGGACTGGGACTCAGATGATCGGGGTCCTAGTCCCCGCTCAGCCATGGAGCCACCTGGGTGACTTTGGGCCAGTCAGACTCTCAGCCCAACCTACCTCACAGGGTTGTTGTTGTGGGGATGAGATGGAGGAGGAGATGTAAGCTGCCTTGAGCCCTCTGTAGGAAAAAGGCAGGATATAAATCGGGGGGGGGAGGGGGTTCTGTGGCTCCTTTCTCCAAATTTGACCTAGGGCTGATCCCAGACCGCTTCAACCAGCAGATCATTTGCTCCAGAGCCACCAAAGGTACCCTCTACACCCTCTCGCCGTGCGCAGCTTCCACATCGCCACCTCCAGGTCCTGCCTGGAAGACTCATCTGAACATGGCGGGACTCACTTCCCACTGTTCTAGGGAGCTGTCCCCAAACCTGCACCGTTCTAGCCCAGACATGCTCAAACCAATGCCCAGGATCCCTCAGCCACCCCACAACTGGGCACTTTCTGGAAGTGCTCAACTGCTGCTCCCAGAATCCCCCAGGCAGGGGGCTGATGCAGTGGCAACCTGGCATGGCTAGAGGGAGCCGTGCCAGGGAAGCCTCATTAGTGCCAGACGAGCTCCGGTCCCTGCATCCTTCCATGGTCCAGTCAGAAAGCAAGCGCATCAACAGGTCTGGCGCCAGCACTGCCCCCTTCCAGAAAGAATCAAGCTCCATATACATACGGATGCAGAAGTCGCCACTTTCGTAATATCCCGGGCAGCACTGGGATCGCCGGCGATACATTGTCCTCAGTCCCCTCCGATAGGCTGTCTTATAACTTATTCTGAATTGCAAGACAGAAAAACAGCATTGGAAATCAATGCCTACAGTTAGAATTCTATTTGCGTTATGTTACTGCAAGGTTAGGTATGTCCAATAATTACTTTAAAATGTGCAAAGGTTTTTGATATTTAAGAAGATCGATACAAATTTTGAATCCTACAGTGCCAAGTCATGCTCTACAGCCTAATCAGATTTCACTCTGTGTATGTACGTTTAATATATATGACAGAGAAAGAACGAGAGAAAGAGTCAAAAGCTTTGTCTCTGAACACGGAGTCCATTAATACACAGCAGCCTGAGGTGCTATAGAAGCGACCGCTTCCATATGCAATTGGCTTGCATAATCCGGGCCCCTTTTTGCCACCAGGCCTAGCATGGCATTTGCTCAGCCCCAGCCTCAGAGGAAGCTCCTGCCAAAGAACCAAAGACTGTGGCCTTCCTGTTGGAAGGAACCCTCGCCTCTCCAGCACGTGCAGCTTCTACGAAAAGACACTGTTTTTGCTACGGTAGAGGAACCAGCATTTGAGAAACGTTGCCTCCCCACAGCAGTTAATGCAAAGTAGCATGCGATGACATGCTAATGCTATCACAGTGAAGAATAATTCTAGTAGTACTATTTTAGCATCTTCACTTCCACTGCTGCTCGTACTTACAACAAAAGAGTTCTGCACCCTAATTTCTGCAATCAGAATTTTGCTCTCAGAAAATTTGCCTAGTTTATCTTACTTTTGCTAATCTTGAGAACTGTGCACCTGACTCAGGAAACCTAAATGTACCCTTTCAAGTTCTTCACAGACTTCCTCAGGCTTTCCAGTCCAAGGAAACATGGAAACGTGGTCTTTTTTTTAAGCCCACACACATACACCCCCCCCACACACACAAAACGAGTCCATAAATACACATTCCCCATGCAGTTCCAATGGCTATTATCCAAAGCATAAAGGTTTTCACTAGAGGCTGTGATTCACTTGGACAGCTGCAAGCATCCATGGTGCACGCACGATGAGGAAAGAAACCGTATTCTGCACGCACATGTGTGCACGGGGATCAGGTTCCACGTTGGCCACAGTGCCATCTCCACCCCATTTGACTGTTCCACGTTTTGCTGTGTCACAAGCTGGAACTGAAATGCGTTTGATTGGCACAGTTCCCGTGGGGTGTACACAAGAAACCCAGCACTGTGAAGGTGCAGAGCGCCTTTACCGTGGCACTAAAGCTGGGTAAACCAGCACCAAGAGGCCATGTGTTGGTGCAGGAGAGTCTGCCCCCTGTGCCGTGACACGCCTAAATAAGCACTAGCACAACCCGTGGGCTCCAGAAGTCACTGAATGGAATCCACTTGCGTGCAATTCCAGCGCCGTATGACCTCAGATTAAATATACCGCTTTGTTGGAGAGGGTATCTAAACAAACAGCGCCCGGAAGAGTGGAAAAACAATGCCAGAATAAAGTTGTGTTCCAAGCCCCCATGTGAGCAGCCCTTGTTACAAAATGGAAAGAACGCAGCTCAGGCCCAGCTCTGCCCATAGGCAGCCAGCCAGCCACCAGAGGCCGCGTGGGGAAAGGTTCTGGGCTTTGATTAGATCAAAATTAAACTTCCTAGACTGGGTACAAAATACTTTGGGCTAGAAGGACAAAAGATGAACTTTGGGGTGCCAGGCCAGGAGCGCGTCGTGCAATGGGGCCAGGAAAGATGGGGAAAGGTGCTCCGGGCGAGAAGGACAAAAGCTGAGCTTTGGGGTGCCAGGCCAGGAGCGCGTGGTGCGATGGGGCCAGGAAAGGTGCTCCGGGCAAGAAGGGCAAAAGCTGAGCCTTGGGGTGCCAGGCCAGGAGCGCGTGGTGTGATGGGGCCAGGAAAGGTGCTCCGGGCTAGAAGGACAAGCTGAGCTTTGGGGTGCCAGGCCAGGAGCGCGTGGTGCGATGGGCCAGAGGCGTGGTGGGCAGAGGGACCTTGCGGGTGCCGTGCCTCAGCAGGACTGGGAAGCCGGCCAGGGTGGCGGGCGGGCGGGCGGGCGGATGGGGGGGGCCAAATACGGGGGGCTCTGGAGGAAAACCGCTCCAGCCCTGCAGGGGCCTGGGGCGGAGCAGAAGCTCCCCTCCTGGCCGGACACGGCCCCGCTGGAGCGATTCGAGGCCGGAGGCCGCGCGTCGCAGGGCGGCCTGGCCGAGCGCAGGCCTCGGGCAGCGGGGAGTCCGCGCGCGGCAGGACCGTGGTGCCGCCGCCCGCCGGGCCGCATCCCTCCCGGCCGGGGCGCCCGTTCCGTGTCCGCCGGCTTTGCCCACTGCAAGGTCCGGGCGCGCAGCGCTGCCTGCCAGGGCTGCCCGAGAAGCCTCGCGGCCGCCCAGGGCCCGTCCTTCTGGCCAGAGCTGACCCGGGAGGGCGAGTGATGCGCACGCCGCCTTCCCCAGTTCGCCTGGGTCCGCCTCGCCTCTGAGCCCCAGGGACAGTATCTTGTTTAAAACAATACTTTTTTCACCCGTCTTATTAATGGGTGAAAACATGGTTCGATTTCCTGCTGGCGTTTCTTGAGATTATGATTGAACATTTGCAGTGCATCAGTATTTTGTGTTGCATTATTATGTTATTTCCCTTGTTAATTGTGGCTGTTATCTTCAAAATGTTTATGATTACTATGGATGTGACTGTTATATTGTGTCTTATGCTGCAACCTGTTCCGAGAGCATTTGCTATAGAAGGGTCCATAAAACCTTTAAAGTAGTGCATGCGTAGCCTATCCTGCACGGGCTGCCCTTTGTGCATCGCTGTAGCAACGACACCAGGCTGCAGCACAAGAACACGTGGGAAAGTCAAGAGGAGGTGAATTCTTCTGCAAGGCATTGTATGACTGTAGCACTTTTGGACTTAGCTATTTTATTTTAAACAAAAAGGAAGAAGAAAACGCTAGAAGTGAGGGCTGTGCAGACACCCCCCCCCCACCTTTGCCTAGTTTAATACAATCTTGCCCTAAAATTAATTGAAAATGTTACAGTGCTAAATTGGTCACGTTTTCAATAGATGAACATTTTCTCCTGAAAAATCCATTTTTGGCCTCTTTAATTTTGCAGCAAGATTCCAACACAGAGAACTCTATATTTATTTTGATTTATAAAAAGACAACGCTACCAAGAAGATGAAAAGGCAGGGGAAGGTTTGAAATTTCTTCCGATCGCCACTTACCTGTGTCGAGTGCACTTGAACCAGTTCAGGATATCTGTACATCTTGTATAATAGATCTGATCAAAGGGGTGTGCATACGATTCCTGAACAGTCACCGCATAGCTGGAAAGAGACGGCGAAAGAGCAGAAAAAGTGCTTCATTCATCTGCAAAGCCTCTTCTCGCCCTCTCTCCTACATTGCTCAAAACATGCAGCAGCTGCAAGTCACAGGAAATCTGGGCAATGCAACCTTTTAGTCCCCAACAGATCAAGTATCATAGTTATTTAAAATAATTTATACTTGGCTGTTCATCAGAAATGATTCTGAGGTGCTTGATAATATAAAAAGAAAAAGCACAGAGCAAAGACACAAGCGTATGAAAGGGAAAACAAAAACCATGCAGCTTCCTGTTAGATAAAGGTCAGCCTACTCCACAACCCATTCCAAACACCCTCGGAAAGCTCACAAGCGAAGGCACCCGTCGGCTGCCAGAGGCCAATGAGAAGAATTTATTCAGCAGTAAACTAAACCAACAGGGAGTCAATTGCATGGGATCCTGGGTCGCCTTGGCACAAGACCGGGGCACTCCGACCCTTAAGTATTGCCAATTAGGAAGGAGGACTTTAAGATCACACCCCAGGTGCAGCACCCAGTGCACACGGTGGACAAAACCAGGCCCCTGGACGGCCGCTGAGAAACCCATTTCCCACATGAAACTGCAGGTGGGCCCTGCCCCAAGACTGACATGAAGCCCAAATATGCTCCACCAGCCCTTTGGGTCACATTCATCCCTCGCCGTGTCTTCCCTCGCCCTGCTGCTGCAGCTGCTGCCGCTGCCTCGGGAGACACATCTTCTAATTAAGCCTTTTACGTTAGGCAGGAATGTAAGAACAGGAGAAATGCCCTGCAGGGTCAGACCCAAAGTCCATCCAGTCCAGCACTCTGGGCACATGGCAGCAAACAAGCTGCCCACAGGACCCCTCCAGCAGGGCGGGGGCAAGGCCTCCTCCTGCCCAGCTCCTCGGCAACTGGTGAAAGGAGGTGGCCCAAAAGGCTAGTAGCCACAGAGAGCCTACAATTCTGCTGGCCATGCATGCTGGGAAATGTAGGCCTCTTTGCCCGAAGTTTGGATAGCACAGGGCCAAAAATCGTGGTGTTGTTAACATTTTGCTGCCTTGATCCTCCTGGTCTTTTGTTTTGCACTGTTGCGAGCTGTCCGTAATGATTATTAGTAAACAAAGTGGTATATCAATAACAACAAGTTTGGAAATTAGGGGGCCACCTCTGGCCCCATCTTTCTTCCTATCAGGCAAAGTACAGCGCATTGCAGCCCTCTGGAACTGGACAGATGGCGCGTTTGCTGCGGTGGCGGCTCCGCACGGGAAGAGGGCTTTGAGGGCTGCGGCCGTTCCAGCCTGACGTCTTGCTCAGCCAGGCAACCCTGGCCAAACGCTCGGCCCCAGCAAGGGCTGCTTCGCTGGCATTGCAGCCCGTTTCCTCACGCTTCCCGGGCCTCACTTCATGGGGCTTCCTGCTGAGGAAATGGGTACAGGATCGCCCTCTTAACTGGAGAAAGAGGAGGTGTGAGCCAGGGGAAAGTCCTGTCAGCCAGATCTGACATCGGGTACCTTTTTAAGTGAATAAAATGAGTGGAATGGGAGGTAGTTTGAGCTACCCCTTGCTATCTGGAGGCCATCTTCGCTTTTCTTTGCTTTTCTAGCTCTTACGCTGACACCCCGAAAGCCAAAGACCCCTGGCTCCCCCAAACAGAAGGCGGTGTGCCCTGATCTTGCAGCCCTGGCCACGGAAATCCGACCATGCCCAATGAACCCAGTCAGCTCGGGGGTTGATGGGCGGAAGCTGTGATGGGGAAGGGGGCTTGTTTGGGGCTTAGGGCTGATTCCCACCGAGCCAGCAATGCGTCCAGAAGGCAGAGCGGCAAAGAACAGGCAGGTCGCTTCAGACAGCAGACTTCAGAGGCGACAGGGAAAGGATCTTCTCTTAAAGAGAAATGCGGAAAAGCAAAACATCGCTGCCGTCAATAAAAAGAAAACACTGAAGACATTTCTATGCCCTTAAAGCCCTATCAGATCATCTTTCTCCTGGGACTGTTCAGTTTTTACTTGTGTACAGGAAAGCTAATTAAAAGTACATATTAACATGCTACTGCCAAGCCTTCCCAGCATGGTAGGGTTCCAGCACTTCATTTGTATGATGAAGGAGCGAGCAGGCCTAAATAATGGGCATCCCAACCAAATAAGAGGCTTTTTTATTATTATTAAAAGCGGGTCTCTGGGGTTTGATTTTTCACTGTTGTTCATTTCTAAACAGAAACTATTTTAATCTGCGATAATTTGTAGCTGCAATTAACCAGTAATTGAGAATCATAAATTGTGCTATAAGCAGCGGGTGCTTTTTTGTTGTTTCCTTAAAAAAACCCCTTTAGCATTCTGTTAACTGCCAGGTGGCGACATGAGCAAGAGGGTGTGGTGCAAGGAGAGAAAGAAATGGGTAAACTGGGTCATCATCTAATGTACATTGAATAATAACCAGACAGTAATTTCTCCATCTATAAGAACAGGTGATGGTCTAGTCCAGAATACTCTCCAAGGGTAGAGTTGGATGAGATGCCCCCGTTTGATCCTCGCTTTGCTCACGAGCTAGTTGAGATAACAAGCAACTCTCACAGCGTCCACCCTCCGCATCCCAAAATTCTGAGAAAGAACAATGGATCGCAGGTAGAGCTGCTGCCTTGCGCACAGAAGGGCTCCAGTTCAATCCCCAGCAGCTTCTCCAGGAAGGGATGGAAAATCCACTGCCAGGAACTGACCCAGCATGAGGCAGCTTCCGCGCTCGCCGAGAGACCTGCTGAAGGGATGCCTAAAATCACGGATGTGAACCCTTGTTGTAGAAAGGAATAACATTTTGTCGGGTCAAGGCACTGCAGGACTTGAGACAATTAACTGGCCTGCGTGTTCCTGTTCTGCAATCAAAGCGGAACGCCTCTTTTTTCACGGGATGGACACCCACAGGGTCCAGAGAATTGGCCAGGTCTAGGGCCCTGAAATAGCGTGATCCAAAATTAAGGGAGCTACAGCATAGAGTCTTAGCAAGGATGCCAACTCTGGAGCTGGCCGCTACCACATGAAGCTCCTCTGGTCACTGACTACCCTCTTTATGCCAATGCACACGCCGGATTGCACCCTAAACTGAGAAGCCATCTCAAGGTGCTTCACTTGAGGACCAGAATGAGGCTTCCTGGAAGAAATTAACTCCCCACCCCCACCCCCCCACTCCGTGCAATGAAATCTTCTATGGGCAAAGATGCCAAACAGCACAGCATATTTAGACAACTCTTTATTAACATAAAAACCAGTCTTCCTGATTATTATTTTACAATCCTGTTTGCTCCTCTTGACCTCACCCCAACTCAATCTTTTTGGCTTGATTTATTACCATCTAAGTATCACAGTCATCTTGGCCGGGAAGCCAATCAATTCTGGTATTTAATTTTTGTTTCTCCTTGATTGGGTCTCCGGGTTGCTGACTTCCTTCACACAAAATCAATATTGTATTCCTGGGCTTGAAATGTACTTTGCTTTGATGTGGAATGGCAAACAGTCCCAAATCACAGGCTCCATTTCCACCCACGTTTACCCGAGCAGCCTGTGTGTGGTACACTCAGCATCCCTTAGAAAAACCCTAATAAATCTAAGCATAATGGACTCCAGAATGCCACTAAGGGCTCTTCATGTTGCTTAAGAAGATTCGTGCTCGTTGCAGCATAAGCTGAGGCATTTCCGAGAGCCCGTTCTTGAACACAACAAGCATTGTGCCTTGCTCAGAACATTTCACAGAAAAACGGAGGCTTCCTGGGAACAAAATCACGTCCGGATCTTTTGCCCGCTCATCTGGAGCTCAGCCAAGAATGGAGGAAGGCAAAGGAGAACCGTGCCCGTTTGCATGAGCAGCTACTTCAGTGGGAAAGGCCGGCTGGGTTTAAGCTGGAGGGCACAAGAGTGCCGAGACAGGAAAACGATTCCACACCTCCCAGAAAGCCCCATGACTGGATCTGAAAAGGCTTAGTGCGAGGGCATCCAACCAACTGCCTCCTTCCATACTGACTGCTCTGGATCCTACAAGTGTCCTCAGATGCTGTTCTCAGATTGCCCTGGCAGAGATGAAACAGAGGGTGACTGTCACAGGCAGGGTATTTTTGGTGGTGGCTCCCAGCTTGTTGCAAATCTTCCCCAAGCAGGCTCACCTGCCCCTAAGATTACTTTAAGGTCTTCAGCAGGTGTAGCCCTACCATTCTAATGTTTTGCTGTTGGTTGGTTTTATTTTCATTTATTCAATTCTGAGTTTGGTTGATTTTTTTATTCTGTTTCTTTTTTGGGACACCTACAGACAGTTTTTATAATTTTTAGTTCCGAGTGCTAACCATCCAAAGGTGGTTAACATAATCCTTCCTCCAGGCCGCCAAGCTGTCGAAGGCGAGCCCGTGAAATGCGCCGCCCAGGGATGCTGTCAATCTGTTTGCCTGCAGTTTTTAGCATTCTGATACAGGATTTTATTGAGAAGTACTCTAGATTTTTTTAATAGAAAAGTTGCACACACGCATTTTAAATAAAATAAGGAGGGGTGGATATGATGAGTTACCTTTCCCAGTGGCTGCAGACATTTGGATCATCTGGGTTTAAGGAGACAGTTGCTTTCAGAAGGAGTGAGAACGCCAGAACTTTGAGATCCCACCACAGGAGAAGGCAGAACATCATGGCTGGTTCTTAATGAAGAAACGACAGGCGTTAGACAAGCAGGCGGGTGGGCGACAGCTTCGGCGGTGGGCTGCTCCGATCTCACGGGCGTGGGCCTGCCCGGCGCTGCGGAGAGCGTGGCGCCAAACCCCGACCCCAGCCTGCAAGCCTTTAGCCTAAAGGCAAGGATGGGATGCCCACCAATGAGGTCGCCGAGTCCTCCAAAGGGACATGAGACTCGGGAGAACCTTTGGGAAGGAGCTAACCCTCACCCCCTCGCACCAGCGCCTGCGCGGAAGAGGCCTCCCTTCAGCGCCCTCAAGAGCAGGGCTCTTGGTCTGCACGCGGTGATTTTGTGCACGGAACACAAAGGGCGCCTCCGGTGACGGCACCGCTCGCCCGACATGAGCAAGGGTGCTGCTTTGGCTCCCATCTCCCAGAGGCCCCTGCCAACAAGGGAATGCTGGGAGATGAAGGCCAGCACATCGGGGGATCTGCTCTCTGTCCACCCTTGCCTGATGACGACGATTAGGTTGCATCTGCGTTCTGCTTTTTTCCTCTTGTGAGGAGCCCCGGGCAGCTGGCACGGTCCCACTTTATCCTCCCAACGACCCTGGCCCAGGGCCTGAGCACGGCCCTTGACCCAAGCGCTGCCTGCTGAGCTGAAGCTCGGAGGCTCCCCTGGGCCACTGGCGTCTGCAGAAGGACTGATTGGCCGGGACACATGGCGCGCCTGCCCCTCAACGCCAGCAGAAGGACCAGAAGGGCTGTCCCTTACCTGGCCATCTTGCAAGCAGGACACCTCTACACGCCTGGGCAACGCAAACAAAACCAGGTATTTCTCCTTACTGAAAAAGAAAGTCCCTGAAGAAAAAACTGAATTTGCAAGTTTAATGAATCTCACCTCAGTGGGGCTGCAACGCCGTGCAGCCAAGGATTTGCCCACTGCGGTGACTTCCTTGGCAAAGGGACAGTCTCGGTCCAGGCTTTTCCGATGCTCCGCGCAGGCTGCAAAGAGACAATTGCCAACAAAACTCAACAAAGAAAGCAGAAGACTTGAGCAATGAGGCAGGGCACATTTGTGTCCTGATAAGGAATTCAGGATTCTGCACATTCTCAGAGGATTCTGCAGGGGGCGGGGGGGTCCGACATGCCGTTCATTAAAACAGAAACGCTAACTGATCTGAATGTAACATGCAAGCTGCACCTCTGCCATAGTCAATTCCTGCTTCGTTCCCCAGACAGACCTTTATTTCCTCAGGTATGGGAGGCACCATCCACTCCCTTTGTTCCTCTTCTGCCCAAAAACGGCCACGCTTCATCCCAAGGTGCTCTCCCACACCGAGTCATGGGTGGGATGCAAGCAGGGCGGGCCTCTTGAATCAGGCGGAGGGAAAGAGGGCCTTCCAAGGAGGGCAAGAACTCTCGGGATTTCTTACTGCCTCCGAGCAAATCAAAAAGAGCCATCCTGGCTGGGGATTATGGGTACTCAAGTCCAGCACCTCTGAAAGGCACCAGCTTGGAGGAGGTTAGTGTAGTCTTACAGGGACTAAGCCTCCTAAAAGAACAGGGAATACACATGATAAATCATTAAAAGGCTGCACTTTAAAAACAAAAATTAGGAGAAATAGCCAGAGAAGAGGGGCAAGACAAATTAAAAGTCGACTTCAGATGCTGAATCAGGTCCCAGTGCGAGGACTCCAGCGTGATTTAGTGGAAAGAGAAGTATACTTCTACTTATTCCAAAATGCAAAAGGACACAGGGGAAAAAGCAAGCCTGCGGGGTGCACGAAGTGATGTTGCATTAAGAAGTACACATTAATACTTTCTGCTCTGCCTTCCAATGCAAATTCATTAATTCTACTCTTCAAGAAAACTCCCAAGATTCTAATTTAAATCAGATCAAAATTTCTGGACATTAAACACTAAATTCCCATACATTTCCATGAAATGCCCTGGGAATTTTAAATTCCTTCAGACCAAGTCTGGAGACATCACCTTCCCTTCCCAATTTCAAAGAAATTACTAGAGAACAGGGCAGAGACACTGGAGTTGACCATGGAGACAGGAATAGACTGAAACCAAATCCAGGTTTCAAGAAAGAAAGTCAAGCAAGGCACGACACAGTGCAAATGAGCTTCCTCGTGGGAAAAGGATGTGCAAGCCAACCACAGCGTAGTTCACCAATCCCGTACCCCCCAAAATTCCTCATCCCTCATCCTGGGCCTCAGAGGTCCACCTCCATCAGCCAGCATCCATGGTGCAACTCTCTATGAACCCTGCTCACTTAACATCTATGATGCATTAATCCCTCAGTCCGTGCACCAGCATTAAAAGCCAATGGCTCCTTCAAGGCAGGGCCCACGAAGTCATAACATACAACATCAAAATGAAGGAATCACCTGATCAAAAACACAATACATGTTCTTAAAGCTGAGGATTACAACTGCAATTCACAAAAGCAGCAGCAAGTAATCATGATTTTTAAAAGGACGACTGAAATTGACGTCATTTCTCATTGAAGTCTCCAAAGATGGGCCCGAGTTTCCCAGGGCTGGGAGCACACACACCAATTCCACCAAAATCACTCTGGCATCGCTCTCTAGGATGGCATCCAACCCTGGAATGGCTGCCATGGAGAGGCAGTGTGGCACAGTGGTTAGGATGGCAGGGCTAGGAGTCAGGAGGTCCGGGCTCTAGTCCCCGCTCAGTGGGGGACTCTGGGACAGGCACAGATGCTCAGCCCAACCTGCCTCACAGGGTGGTTGTTGTGGGGATAAAACTAAGCGGAGGAGAATTATGCAAGGTGCCTTGAGTTCGTTGAAAGGAAAAAAGGGAGATATAAATATAACAAACGAACGAACATGGGAAATGAGCCCAAGGAACTGCTGAAACAACCACTTCCAAAGCAGGACAGAACTACTCTTATGTTAACAGCTGGTGGATTGCCAGGACTGGAAGCTGGCCCTAATCCTGAGGTTGTGGGAGATGCTACCATTAATTAATGGCAAGAAACACACACTGCACACACTCAATCTTACGGCTGCTTCAGGTATCCCACAGATGAAAACGTTCTCCAGTTTGCACCTGTAGATCACACGGAAAGTTTTGGCTTTTGGGAGCACCCGTTTCATTCCTAGCTGACGTCTGTAATGAGGTGTAAAAAGGCTATATCCTTCCGCTAATCCAAATCCAGGTCACAACACTGGCTCTTTAGGAGAGCCTCCCGTTTCCAAGAGCTGTGCCGAAATTTTATAAGCTGTTCCAGAGATGCAACAACACGGAAAACCAATATGCCGCACTGCTTCGCACCTTTGCTATGCCCTGGCTCACTTATTACCCATTATTTATTTCAAAAGGTGGGGTTTCTTTCCAGGAATGTGTAAGTGAAAATCACCCAACTTACAGTAACAGGGCAGGGTGACGACGATCCATCAGAAAGACTAGAAGGCAAGCTTCATTTAATTAATATATCAAACATGACAAAATACAAGAGACTGCCCAAGTCCCCGGGGAGAGGCATCCCTGCGCCTGCTAAGACCAAAGCCACCGAAGGCAGTCCAAGAAGCGGCACCTGTGACTGAAGGGTCACACCTGGAATCCCACTCATAAAACTCTCCCAGCGGTTTTCCTCATTCCAGCTTCAACATCCAGGACATGGCCTTCTCGTCACCTCTGCCTGGATCTGCCTTTTCAAATACTCGGGTCTGTGAAGCAATCCCGGGCTCCTAGTTTGGGGAAGACACAGCCGTACAGGACTCAGACTTGATGCAACATCATGGCACAAGCCAAAGGTTTGGGCCCGAAATGGTGAACTAAACAGCCAGTGCGGTCGAGAAAGGGAAGGGAAGGGAGGGGGAGATGACTTGAAGCTCCACATTTCTGCCTCCATGAGGTCAATTTGTTTGTACCTCCCGGAGATGCATGCAGGAAGAGCAAGGCCAGGATAATAAACCAAGTAATACTGCAAGGAGGAAACCTGCACGATGAGCCTCTGTTTTCTTTGATTCATGGACAAACAAAATGGGCTAAAGTCTAAGAGGAGGGCAGGTGACTGCAAAATACAGGTATGGCCAGAGCTCCATCCTACCAAAGTCTTGCTTCCAGCCTAACAAGGACACACAGAGGAGCTGAATTTTTATGACGACAGGGTGAAGAACACCTTTTTTATGCATGACAGAAATTCAATAAATCCTGCACTGTCCCATCTACAGCATTCCAGGCCCGGGCATTCGGGCACTTCCAGTGCCTAGGGCAGCAACAGCACGAATGCCCAGCACACCTGCCCAAGAGACAGAGCTCCTGCCTTCCCCCTCGGGGAGAAAACAGAGACCACCAGAGAGGAGAGGAAGATGGCTGTGTGGCCCACCAAGGACATGCAAGGGAGCTGCAGGGTCTGTTCCCCTCCTCCTCCTCCATGATTTGCCTGCGGGCACCCTGGGGCTGAGGATGCCCGCCTACCTGCAATGCAGGGCAGGCCGCCTTAGGCTGCAGCAGCCAACATGGCACCTGTGGGTACCACCTGCCCCCAGGTACCTTCCTCTGCTCCCGCCGGGGCACTCCATCCCCCGACTTCTTACGCAGAGTTAAACAGCTAACACACCCGCCGTGAAACAGCGCTCTGCGGGTGCTGAGAACCGAGGGTTCAAAAGCATTCTTCCGTGCGCAAGACCAGACACCTCTCCCCTTCCTTGCACTCCATCTTTTGGGGAGATTTTTGGTTTTTGGCCACGTCTCCTGTGGCAGCCGATTTGGGATGGCACACAGGACTGCTTCACAAGCCACCAAAGGACCTGGCTCCCCAGAAGGTCCCCCGGCCTGGCCCTGGCTGAACGGAAATGCGAACGAATACGGTTGCTTGCGCGGCCAATCCAGAAGGAAGCCCAAGTGCCGCCACCCGGGGCTGAGAGCACCATGTGCTTAATGGAGGGCTTCGAGGGAGACGTGCTGCGAAACCTGACAGGCCGGCGGGCCTTCAAGGCTTGCTGGCCCCGTGTGTAGGGAAGGGAAACAGCCTGTCCACAAATGCCTCTGGAGCAGCGCCTGACGTCGCCTTGCTCACCCGAGCAGCAGGACATTAGGAGCTCATGGGTTTTGCCACCACGGAAGGCCAGTGCATATCCCACATGGAGTGTGTGGAGCAAGAGCGCGCTTGCACCTGGCGGCCTGGAGCGGAAGGCTACAAGGCAGTAAGGACTAGCAGGTGGAGCAGAGTCATGCTTGTCTTTCCATTCTGCGTCATTCTGGCCATCTTGTCCTTGAAGGTTTCTGGTCCAACAAAGATTCGGACGGAGCAGATGGACTGGAGATCATTGTCAAGCAACGACCTGCACCCTCGGGGGACTGTGAGCGCCCCACCCCACCAAGGAGAGTCCGGCGATTTTGACACGTCTGCCTGGCGTACATCAAGAGCGTGCCCAAGCATCCGCCCCGTGGTCCTCCCTCGAGCAAGAGGGACGGCGGATAAGCCAACAGACTGAAGCTCGGCCAGACAAGGCTGAGGTGCTCTCCCTGGACGGATGGGTCCTCTGAGGGCTCGGAAGGTGCGCAAGCTGTTCTGGAGGGGCTGCGCTCCCCCTGCAGGAGCCACTCCCAGCGGAGGGGCTCTCCTTGAACTGTCCCTGCCACTGAAGGGTCAGGAGGCCTCTGTGGCTCCGAGCGCCTTTTCACCAGCCTCAGTTGGTGTCCCAGCCGGGACAGGGACACCCTGGTGTCCGTACCTCTAAATTAGTTAAACCCACACCAAGTGGAGCTTTCCTTAAAGAAGCTGCAGCTCATGCAGGAGTCAGTGGCCAGATCAGATGCACTGCCGCCCCGTTTGCTTCCGAGCCCGAAGCAAGGCTGGCTTTAATTTGCAAAGCCTCGATGGCCGGCGCCCACAAGGCCTGACAAAGCACCACTCCAAACCACAATCCCCCTGCACACCACACTCTGAATTCAGGACCTTCCTTCAGGCTCCAGGCTCAGAGGATGAGAAGAAGGGCGGCCTTCTCGGTAGCGGCCCCGCA